CAATGAAAAATGAATTTAATCCATCTTCGAGAGTCCCCAGAGTCCCACCAGTGCTTGCACTGCTCAAAAGTCCAAGTGCCAAGTGTCTTCTGAGACTCGATGCAAGCTCCGAGATGTGAGTCTCTAAAATAAGAGTCAAGGTACATGTGCCAAGACACAATAGCGCCAGGCAAACACTCCTATTCCAAAAGGGAGGAGTGGGGATAGAGTATGATGGTGAGTGTTCATTGTCAGGTCCACATGATTTAGCCTCTCTAGGTTATGCTAGCCTTTGGACAGATAGGCCTTTGAGAGATTTATTTGTTTACATTAACTGAGGTGGGATCATTAACCCACTGTGGCTGGGATCATTTTCTGGGCAGATGCTGGACATAAAATGGAGAAAGCAAGCTGAGCAAGCATTCACTGCTTTGTTTTTGACTGTGGGTGTAACATGACCAGCTGATTCAAGCTCTTGTTGACTCTCCCTCCATGATGGGCTGTACCCTTGAACTGTGAGCTGAAACAAATCCTTTCTCCCTAAAGTTGCTTTTGTTAGAATATTTTATTACAGAAAGAAGAAAAGAAAGACAGAAAGGAAGGACCAGATGAAAGTAAGATGGTGTGCTGGATAGCTTCAGTTGTCAGCTCGACACACCTGGGTAGAAGGAACCTCAACTGAGGAATTTCCTCCATTGGATTGGCCGTGACAATTTTGGAGGCATTTTCTTGATTACTGAGTGATTTGGTAGGGCCCAGCCCACTATGAATTGTGCAACCCCTGGGCAGGTGGTCCTTGGTTATATAAGAAAGCAGGCTGAGCACAGGCCAGGGGACTAAGGCAGTAAGTAGCACTCCTCCATGCTGTACTTCAGTTCCTGCCTCCCGATTGTTGCCCTGAGTTCCTGCCCCGGCTTCCCTCAGTGACGGACTGTCACTTGGAAGAGTAAGATGAAATCAACCCTCTCCTCCCCAAGTTGCTTTGGTCATGGTGTTTATCACAGTAATAGAAAGGTCACTAGGACAGATGGAAACCCAGGATGGCAAACATCGAATGCTATAGTTCCATGTCCAGCATCTGGGGCACAAAGTGGAATGATGTGAGCTCCAGAGAGCTTAGGTGGAGCAGCCCCCTTGGCCTCTCCCTTGGGCTGGCTGGCTCTGCTTCTGCTTGAAGTTTTTTTTGGTAGATAGTTCATATTTCTGACATCTTTAACTTTCTGGGGTCTCCATTGGAGATTCAGGTTTCTTCTCACAGATTCATAGACCACCCTTTTGGGGGCTGCCTTCATGGACTCTAAACCTACCATGCTGCTTGACTGTCCAGGTTTTTCTTTAAAATTTAGTGGATGCCTCTGGGATCCCACAACTCTTGCTGTCTGCAAACCAGCCTCATGTGAATGTCACCAAGGTCTACCACTAGCTCCAGACATAGCCAGGCCGTTTTAGCCCATGGCTGCAGTGGCCTCTGAGGGCCTGGACGGCTAAACACAGGGAAGTGAATCCCAATCCTATGGGCATAATTTCTTAGGCAGTCCCATGAGAGTAGATCACCCTGGAGCTCTTTTCTCAAACCAAAGTCTTTGGGGCCTGAGATGGGTATGGTCTTGCTGATTCCTGAGATGCCCTAATAGAATCTTTCCTTTGTCTGATGCAAAGTAGCCAAGTATCTGATTCTGATTCCTGAGATGCCCTAATAGAATCTTTCCTTTGTCTGATGCAAAGTAGTCAAGTATCTGATTTCTTTCTTTCTCTTTCTCTCTCTCTCTCTCTCTTTTCTTTCTTTCTTTCTTTCTTTCTTTCTTTCTCTCTCTCTCTTTCTTTCCTCTCTCTCTCTCTCTCTCTCTCTCTCTCTCTCTCTCTCTCCCTCCTTTCTTTCTTTCTCTCTCTCTCTTTCTTTTCTCTCTCTCTTCCTTTCTTTTTGTCTTTTTTGAGACAGGGTTTCCCGGTAGCCCCAGCTGGCCTGGAATTCACTATGTAGACCAGGCTGGCCTTGAACTCACAGGTATCTGCCTGTCTCTACCTCCCAAGTGCTGGGATTAAAGGCGAGCGCCACCACGCCTGGCCTGATTTCCTTTTAATGGCACTAATTTCCTTAGCAATCTGTGTCAATCTGCACATTTTTCAAATCTTTCTGTTCTCCTTTTGGCTCCTACTTTTCAGTGAAAATCTGGCCCAAAGCAGCCAGCAATGCCCATGTATAAATCAATCAATCTATCACTTTTAAACTGAACTTGCCACAGTCTCAGACAGGGACAAAATATAGACAGGTTCTTTGCCGTAGAGTAACACAAATGGCCTCTTGTCCAGCTCCTGTTAAGAGTCCTCACTCCCACCTGAAACCTTGTGAGCACAGTCTTTACTTTCCTTGTTCCTGTGAGCATCCTTGTCTTCTGGTTCCCATCAAAATACCCATCAAACTCCAAGAATTCTAAGCTCTGGATAGTTTCCTCTTCCAAACTTTCCCAAATCCCTCCTACAAACCAATTCCAAAGGCTTCCAGACTACTTATCAGCTAGTCACAGCAAAGGGCCATTTTCCTGTGCTTATTTCCTGGGTTAGCTTTCCGTGGCTATGATGAAATACCTAAGGTAATCAACTTACAAAGTGGAAAGATATATTTGGCTAACATTTTTAGAGTTTAGTCCACAGTCATTTAGCCAAATAGCTTTGAGCCTGTGGAAAGACAGAAGATCATGGTGGGAAACCCATGGTATAACAAAGCTGTTCACTTCAGGGTGGCTGAGAAGAAAACATAAACAAACAAACATACATACATGCATACATACATACATACACACACATACATACAGAGAGAGAGAGAGAGCGAGTGAGAGCAAGAGCGAGAGAGACACCAATCCTCTTTAAGTACATAGTGCAATGATTTCCCACTAGGACTTACTCTCTATAGTACAAATGTCACACATGACCTTTGGGGGACATTCAGATCCAACTCATAACACTCTACTACCTCCCTTCACTATCCCTGTCACTGTCACCATGACTACCACCCCTGTACCTCTATCTTCTTCACTATCACCACCTGATTATCATTATCACTATCACCACCATCACCACTATTATCCCCACCACTCACTTCCTCCCCTTCCCCTTCACTATTACCACCATCATCACCATTACCACCATCATCACCACCATTAGTACCAAGAGCATCACCACTACAATTACCACCACCTACCATCACCTCCCCTGACTTTCCCTTTGACTATCACCAACATAGTCATCATCACCATCACCACCACCATCACCACCATCACTACCACCACCACTAACTCCGTCATCTTCCTCTTTACTCTCACTACCATTGTCACAATTCCCACCACCACTAACAGCATGTCCATTTCCACCACCATCACAATTAATATCATTGCTTCTACTGTTACCACTATCATCATTACTATCACCACCTCTATCACCATTATTGTTAACTTGCTCCTCACATTTGCTATCACAACTGTCACTACCACCACCACCACTATCACTACCATTAAGTCCCTCACCTTCTATTATAGTCTGAATGAGAACTGTCCTCCATGGACTCCTTATGTAAACATTTGGTTCCCAGTTGGTGGTTGGGAGAGGTTATGGAGCCTTTAGGAGGTGGAGCCTGCTGGAGGAAGTGTGTCCCTGGGAGTGAGGGTTTATAGCCTTGTCCTGCTTCCTGTGTGTGGATGAAATGCGATTAGCCAGTTTTCTGTTCCTGCCACCATACCGTGCCTTCCCCACCACGATGGACTCTATCCCTCTGGATAAGAGGGTTAGCAGCTTCCTTAAGTTGCTTTTGCATATTTTATCACAGCAACAGAAATGTAACTAATACAGCTTCCCCTTCACCATCACTACCATCGTCCCCACCACTAACTTGACATCACCAACATAGTCATCATCACCATCACCACCACCATCACCACCATCACTACCACCACCACTAACTCCGTCATCTTCCTCTTTACTCTCACTACCATTGTCACAATTCCCACCACCACTAACAGCATGTCCATTTCCACCACCATCACAATTAATATCATTGCTTCTACTGTTACCACTATCATCATTACTATCACCACCTCTATCACCATTATTGTTAACTTGCTCCTCACATTTGCTATCACAACTGTCACTACCACCACCACCACTATCACTACCATTAAGTCCCTCACCTTCTATTATAGTCTGAATGAGAACTGTCCTCCATGGACTCCTTATGTAAACATTTGGTTCCCAGTTGGTGGTTGGGAGAGGTTATGGAGCCTTTAGGAGGTGGAGCCTGCTGGAGGAAGTGTGTCCCTGGGAGTGAGGGTTTATAGCCTTGTCCTGCTTCCTGTGTGTGGATGAAATGCGATTAGCCAGTTTTCTGTTCCTGCCACCATACCGTGCCTTCCCCACCACGATGGACTCTATCCCTCTGGATAAGAGGGTTAGCAGCTTCCTTAAGTTGCTTTTGCATATTTTATCACAGCAACAGAAATGTAACTAATACAGCTTCCCCTTCACCATCACTACCATCGTCCCCACCACTAAGTGCCCTAACCTTCCCCTTCACCATCACTATCATCATCCCCATCACTAACTGCCCTAACCTTCCCCTTCCCCATCACTACCTTCATCACCATTACTACCACCACTCCCACCACCATTAACTCCCTCACTTTTATTTTCACTATAATTATTACCAAGACCACTATTACACTGTACCACTGACACCATCACTACATCACCTCATTATCCCCTTCTCTTTTCCAACCACAATCACCATCACCATTAGCACAATTGCGTTCCTCTTTCTTACCACAACTACCAGCACCGTCATTACTTCCACCACCTACATCCTTGCTACCACTATGCCTGCCACCTCCACTACCTCTACCTTTATTGCTGTTGCCATTAGAGGTCTCATCTTCACTGGTAATCACCCCTGTGGCCATCACCATCTTTGCTACCATGGCTGTCACTGTGGGCCAGTTGCTGGTAGCTTCCCTTGCCCCGGGGCCTGGCCTTACCTTGCCCACATAGTGGGGCAGTGAATTGTTTTTCTCTTCATCGATATGCATCTGGTTCCAAATCCAGGCCCTCTTCTGGCGCCGGTGGGCAGGCAGCATGCTGTGGGTGTCCAGCTGGGGAGGGTTTGGGTCTGCCATTGCTGCTACTGCCAGCAGGCCCAAGAAGGTGCCCAAAGTAGCAGCCAGTGTTGTGATCCTCTGCATCCTCCCAGGTGGGACTGATCTGCAGAAAGAGGACAGGACATCAGGACATAGTGGCCACTGCCCTTGAGTGTGAGCAGCTCACTCCGGGAGCCAAACTTCCTTTTTCTCTTCCTTCCTCTATTGATCACTTTGCTGACACCAGCAGAACCAGACCCTAGTCTAGGTGGGAGAGGCTGGCCCAGAAATAGCTCCTACTTATACCCACGTAAGCTGTCGTGGAGGCAGGTACAGGGGTACGAGATTTCCGGGAGTCAGGGAAGGGCATCTGGAGTAGGTGTGAAACTGATGCTCAGATCCTCCCAGGTGGGACTGATCTGCAGAAAGAGGACAGGACATCAGGACATAGTGGCCACTGCCCTTGAGCAGCTCACTCCGGGAGCCAAACTTCCTTTTTCTCTTCCTTCCTCTATTGATCACTTTGCTGACACCAGCAGAACCAGACCCTAGTCTAGGTGGGAGAGGCTGGCCCAGAAATAGCTCCTACTTATACCCACGTAAGCTGTCGTGGAGGCAGGTACAGGGGTATGAGATTTCCGGGAGTCAGGGAAGGGCATCTGGAGTTAGGTGTGAAACTGATGCTCAGGCAGCCCCTCAGATTACTGCCATTTTACAGATGAGGAAACTGAGGTACAGAGAGGTTAACTCCACCCTTGATTAAATGTAGGGGCTGAGAGTGGAGCGCAGGCACCTG